TAGTAATACCCCGACAACTCTGTTGGATCCCTTGAGCACAGTCTACACTGCCCCCAAAACTGCCTGCACCTGCTTCCCAGGGCAACTATCCACAATGACTTTCCCCACATTGCTACAACTGGTTCTCCTGGCCACAATCAGCACTGCCGCCCTTCTTGTCTACACCCACCCTTGTCCATTTCTTTCTTTCTTTCTTTTTTTTTTTTTTGAAATAAAGTCTCACTCTGTCACCCAGGCTGGAGTACAGTGGCACAGCCTCGGCTCATTGTAACCTCTGCCTCCCAAGTTCAGGTGGTTCTCCTACCTCAGCCTCCCAAATAGCTGGGATTACAGGTACATGCACCACACCTGTCTAATTTTGTATTTCTCTAATAGAGACAAGGTTTCACCATGTTGGCCAGGCTGTTCTCAAACTCCTGACCTCAGGTGATCTGCCTGCCTCGGCCTCCCAAAGTGTGCTGGATTACAGGCATGAGCCACCATGGCCCGGCCTTTTTTTTTTTTCCTTTGGACAGGTCTCACTCTGTCACCCAGGCTGGAGTGTAGGGCATGAAGCGTGGCTCCTACAGCCTCAACCTTCCAGGCTCAAGTGATCCTTCCCCCTCAGCCTCCCAAGTAACTGGGACTACAGTGGTAGCCACCATGCCCAGCTAATTTTTACAATTTTTTGTAGAGAGAGTTTTGCTATGTTGCCCAGGGCTGGTCCCAAACTCCTAGGCTCAAGTGATCCTCCGCCCAGGTCTCCCGAAGTGCTGAGATTACAGGCGTGAGCCACTGCACCTGGCCTCTTGTCCATTTTCTACACTGCCTTACCATTGTCTACATTGGCTCTTCTGGGCCACAGACAGCACTATCCCCATTGTCTACACCAGCTATTTCGGCCATCAGCTGTGGGGTGTTTTCACTGTCTCACATGGTGTCTACACTGGCTCTTGTGACCACTGTCTATATAAACACCCCACTTTTTCTACACTGGTTCTCCTGGGCACTCTCTAAAGTGCCCCTCGACACTGTCTACACTGACTCCCTGGAGAACTGTCTGCATTCACCTCCCACATTGTATCGACCAGTTCCCCTGAGCCACGATCGACCATCTCTGCCGGGTGCTGGCTGCATTGATCTTCCCACGTTGTTTGTGCTGGCTCCCCTCAGCAGTGTCTGCAGAGTCCCCCAGTGTAGTCTCCATGCTCCTCTGCCCAGTGTTGTCTACACTGGCTCACTTACAGGCTGTTGAGTCTCGCCCCACATCACCACACTGGCCTCCTTGTGTTCTGTCTGCACGGCCCCTGACAGCATCTGTCCTGGTTCTCCTGCACAGTGTTACCTCCAGCAGCTCCCTCATGGCGTCATCGACATTGACACCCACACATTTATCTCCACTGACAGCCCCAGGGACTCTCTAACCAGTGCTGTCTAACAGAAATAGCACGCAAGCTGCATATAGGATTTTTAATTCTCCAGCAGCCACCCCATTAAAAAGTTAAAAGAAAGAGACCAGGCACGGTGGCTCACGCCAGCACTTTGGGAGGCTGAGGCAGGTGGCTCACCTGAGGTCAGGGATTCCAGACCAGCCTGACCTCAAGTGAGCCACCTGCCTCAGCTAATTTTTGTATTTGTAGCAGAGACGGGGTTTCACCATGTTGGCCAGGCTGGTTTCAAAAAATGCAAAAATTAGCCAGGCATGGTGACAGGTGCCTATAATCCCAGCTACTCGGGAGGCTGAGGCAGGAGAATTGCTAGAACCTGGGAGGCCGTGGTTGCAGTGAGCAAGATGCGCCATTGCACTCCAGCCTGGGCAACAGAGCAAGACTCTGTCTCAAAATCAAAAAAAGAAAAGAAAGAGATGAAATGTATGTTTATTTATTTATCTATTTATTTATTTGAGGCGGAGTCTTACTGTGTCACCCAGACTGGAGTGCGGTAGCACAGCTCACTGCAGCCTCAATCTCTTGGTCTTAATTGATCCTCCCACCTCAGCCTCAGTCTCCTGAGTAGCTGGGACTACAGGCATGTGACACCATGCCCAGCTAATTTTCGTGTGTGTGTGTGTGTGTGTGTGTGTGTGTGTGACGGAGTCTTGCTCTGTCACCTAGGCTAGAGTGCAGTGGCGCGATCTCGGCTCACTGCAGCCTCCGCCTCTCAGGTTCAAGCGATTCTCCTGCCTCGGCCTCCTGAATAGCTGAGATTACAAGCCCTGGCTACAGTGCCCAGCTAATTTTTGTATTTGTAGCAGAGACGGGGTTTCACCACGTTGGCCAGGCTGGCCTTAAACTCCTGACCTCATGATCCACCCACCTTGGCCTCCCAAAATGCTGGGATTACAGACATGAGTCACCACACCCAGCCTATTTTTATTTTTTATAGAGACAGGATCTCCCTATGTTGCCCAGGTTGGTCTCAAACTCCTAGGCTCAAGCGATCCTCCTGCCTCAACCTCCCAAGGTACTGGGATTATAGGCATGAGCCTGGCCAAAGTTAATTTTAATAATTGCCCAATATACCCAAAATATTATTTCAACTTGTAATTGTTTTTTTTAATTATTCTTGAGATCTTTCCCATTTATTTTGCCCTAGTAAAGCCTTTGAAATCTGGTGTGTATTTCAGCCTGGCTATATTTCGCGTGCTCAATGGTCACATGTGGCCAGTAGGTGCCACATTGGACAGCGCAGATCTAGACTAAGCTCCCACATTGTCTACACTGGCTCATCCAAATACTGTCTACACACACACACACACAGGGCCTGTCTTAATTTCACCAGCTCCTGGGGTGGGGGTGATCTCACCCCCACCACTACATTTTCAACACTGGCCTGACAATGTAGCATCTACTGTAATATTCCAATATCCTGTCTACACTGAGCCCATCAGTAATATCCACACAAGCTCTTCTAGGCATCATTCATAGTGTTCCTCCCATCATTGTCTATACTGCCTGCTCCCCCGCCAGGCAAGTGGTACACAGATTTCCTCAGGTACTGTCTATCCTGGAGTCCCTCAACACTGTCACTGGGTCTGAGCGAGGAGGAGATCTACACTGACTCCTACCCCTCGCCCCCCAAAAAACCCTGTCCCATTGGCCTGCCCCCTGAGGACATTGAAATCACATCTGGGATGGCTGAGCAGCAGCCTAGAGCAGGGTTATCCAGGACTCTTTCCCGCAGGACTTGTCGGAGCCTTGAATACACTGCCGTGTGTTATGAGTGGTCATTGCCTATGAGTGAGAAAAGGAGGAGGCCTTTTCCCGCAGGACACCCAAGACATGCCTGGTCCGGGCCACCCAGGAAAGCTAGTGGAGAAACGCAGGTCCTCAGAAGCCCTCTCCATGTGCCCAGTGACCACAGACTCCCAGGCTTCTGCTCTCTGCGGCACCCCATCTCCCTAGACTCCTCCTAGGCCTCTCCAGCTCCCACTGTTTTCCAAATATCCCCAGGCCTTTTCCTGCAGTGATGTGAATCCCACGTAGCCCTCGGCTCCCCAAAGTCTCCCTGTCTCTGAACCTCTGTGTCCATTTCCTGCAGACCCCCCAGAGGTATCCATCTCTGGCTATGATAACAACTGGTACCTCAGCCAGAATGAGGCCACCCTGACCTGCGACGCTCGCAGCAACCCAGAGCCCACAGGCTACAACTGGAGCACGTGAGTCCTGGGTTTCAGGGAGGAGGGGCTGGGGGTGTGGATTTGTGGGTCTGAGGGAGGAGGGGCTGGAGGCCTGGACTCCTGGGACTGAGGGAGGAGGGGCTGGGCCTGGACCCCTGGGTCTGAGGGAGGAGAGGCTGGGGGCCTGGAATCCTGGTCTAAGAGAGCAGGGGGATTCAGAAAAGAAAAAAAGAGGAGGTTGACTTCGGGGTCCCCCAATGGGGGGGCATCTCTGTTTTGACATCTCTGTTTTCCAGTTGAGGCGTTTAGCAGGTGGTTTAATCCTGGCTGGTGGATGCACCTGCTCTTGGGGTGTGCCTGCCCTGTGCCCGGTACTTCCCCCGAATCCCACGTGACCCCATGCTGTGCAGAGTCAGCAGCTGTTGTCATGCCCAGGTTAAAGACCAGCCACGAGAGGGCAGAAGCGGCCCTTGAATCAGCCCTGGCTCCAAAGCTGGTCCTCCGCCTCTTGGCCAAGCTTGTCTAACCTGCAGGCCGCATAATTTCTAAACTTTCTTAAAACATTATGAGATTTTTTTTTTTGCAATTTTTTTTTAGCTCATCAGCTATCATTAGTGTTAGTGTATTTTATGTATGGCCCAAGACAGTTCTTCTTCTTCCAGTGTGGCCCAGGGAAGCCAAAAGATTGGACACCCCCACGCTAGACTGTAACCACCTCACTGTCACCTTATATAACCTACTTGGTTATCTCTGGATGGAGCAAGTACTATCCCCATTGTCTAGATGAGAAAGTTGAGGCTCACAGCAATAAGATTTCTCCAGATTCATACTGAAACTGGGGCCAAGAGCAGGATGAGAAAAAGGCAAAGGGATAATACAAAATTTTATAATACATAATTTTACTGAACCGCCTTTTTTTCTTTTTTTTAAGAAGGGGCTCTGTCGCCCAGGCTGGAGTGCAGCGGTGTGATCATAGCTCACTGCAGCCTGGACCTCCCTGGGTTCAGGTGATCCTCCCGCCTCAGCCTCCTGAGTAGCTGGGACTACAGGCACACGCCACCATACTCAGCTAATTTCATTGTATTTTTTTTGCAGAGACAGGGTTTCACCACATTACCCAGGCTGGTCTCCAACCCCTGGGCTCAAGCAGTCAACCCACCTCAGCCTCCCAAAGTGCTGGGATTGCAGGTGTGAGCCACCTCGCCCAGCCTTACGTCTTTTTCCTTATTACAAAAGTAACTTGTGTCCACTGTAGAAATATCAACCAAATTAGTTATGAGAAAAAAGAATAAAGAAGCACCTATAGTCAAGTGTACCCAGCCACCTCCAGAAATACCCAGTGACCACTTATTATACATCCTTCTGTCTTTTTTCTCTGTTTCTAAACAAAGACTGGAATTATGCTATACATATAATTTTGAAACTTTTCCTGTATCTTGTGAATACCTTCCCATGTCAAAGCACAGAGATCTACACTCCATTTTCCCCCACGTTGTATTAGGAAGACTGTCAAACATACAGAAAAATCGTAGGAATTTTCCAGTGAACACTTAAGATTCCACCACGTGAATTCCCCCACTAACATTTTACTGTGCTTGCTTTATCATGTTTCTGTGATTCCTTCGGTCCCTCCATTCATCCATCAATCATATTATGCACTTCAGAGCACCCTCAGATCCCCTGTTTTTTGTTTGTTTGTTTGTTTGTTTGTTTGTTTTTTGAGACAGGGCCTCACTCTGTTGCTCAGGCTGCAATGCAGTGGCACAATCACAGCTCACTGCAGCCTTGAACTCCTGGGCTCAAGTGATCCTCCAGCTTCAGCCTCCCAGATAGCTGGGACTACAGGCACACACCACCACGCCTGGCTAACCTGGCCCCTTTTTCAATGTTGCTGGGATTCCATCACTTTAATAAAAAAAAATTTTTTTTAAGAATAGAGACAGGATCTCACTATGTTGCCCAGGCTGGTCTTGAACTCCTGTACTCAAGCAGTCCTCTCGCCTGGGCCTCCCAAAGGGCAGGGAAGGGATTCCAACATATGTGGATGACATCAGTTATTTAACCAGTCCCCAGTAGAGGACACAGATGTCATTTTCCATTTTCAACTCTGCATATGCCATGGTGGTGACCATCCCCAGTGGTCACTTGTCAGCAGTTGTCAGTGGAAGGAATTGCTGGTCAAAGGTTTTCGATTGGTATGACGGTGCCTTTACTGTCCTGCCTCAAAGTGCCACAATTCAGGCTCTTGATCCGGATGGCTGCGTTTGCATCCCAGCTCTGCAGAGTGCCCAAAGCCCGATGCTTCCATCTCCTCCACCTCTGTTCATTAAACCAGTGTTCCTTGACTACTTACTGTAGTAAGTAAGCCAGGTGCAACTAACCAACATATGCGAGTCAATAAAACAGACCAAATTTCCTCCCCATATGGAGCTTCCATTATAATGGTGAAAGAAACAAGAAGCAAGATAAAGTCATAAAGTGTGTAGTGTGTATGCAATGGTGATAAATACCATGGAGAAGATAAAGCAGAGAAGGGAATGGGACTGGGTGTCGTGGCTCATGCCTGTAATCCCAGCACCTTGGGAGGCAGAGATGGGAGGATCACTTGAGGCTAGGAGTTCGAGACCAGCCTGGCCAACATGGCACAACCCCATCTCTACCAAAAAAGATACAAAAATTGGCCGGGTGTGGTGGCACGCACCTGTAGTCCCAGCTACTCAGGAGGCTGAGGTGGGGAGATTCTGTATACCCAGGAGGTGGAGGTTGCAGTGAGCCAAGATGGC